CTTACAATGTCTTGTTATAAGTGTAACAATCTGCCAATAGAACCAGAAGGTTCCCATCAATATTACAAAAATGATTGACTTAAGACAAGCTCATACATCTTGCTGAAAAGTGACTTGTCAGTTACTAAGATATTTAAACTATAAAGTAAACCAAAATTACTTGATGAGATTTTGTGTTTTTGCAGTGAATTGGGCAATATTGCAGCATTACCTCAGTTTCCACAGTACAAGGCAGCAGGTGGCTGCATGGTGGTGATTATCAGCTCATCTCTGCCTGGCAGATACCAAGAAACTGACTGTTAACCAGCTTACGCTACATTTCCTTGGACGCCATGAATGAGAGATAAAGATCGCCAGCATCTGCTGTACATACAAGGTGCCACGCACAAACACAAGCAGCAGCGTGGCGCTGCACAGGCCCCGTTCGCTCAAAACCACGCCCAGAGTGAGTCACTGCTCCACTGCCGCTCTGACCACAGCCAGGCTTTGACATTTTCTCAAGCCTCCAGTTTATTTACCAAAGTTCAGACAGGAAGGACTGTTCTCTCACTTTTCCTATTGTTGTCACCCACCTATACAGCGATCAGAACAAAAGAAGGAAAACAACTGCTTCGATTGCACAACGGCAAACTGTTTGTTTCCACTTTGTTTTCCACTATGAAGAGAGATTTTAAACAGTACATGACTGAAATACATTGACTTTTAATTTTAGCTCTGCTTGCATTGATGGAACAGAGCTGGTGAAATATGCATCAGCCAGCAAAACTAAGCAAACGCAGAGCATTCCCCTCTGCTGAGCGATGAGTCAGAGAACATGAGAACGTCGCTGTTTGTTTCCCTGCAGCCTAAAAACCCCACTGAGCCTTTGGTGAAGAACGAACACTTAAAGGGAGTCCCGCTCTGCAGAAGCACTAACCTTACCAAGGATTGGGTTCTGCTTTCTACAGACCTTTAATGGACCTTAATGCAACACTTGATTAAAATGTTAGTGACAGAATGACGCTTTATGACAACAGTAATAAACGTTTATAAAGACTCCTTCATGTTTATAAATGGTGTCATGTCAGCCTTATACACACTTCTTCACATAAACTGACTTACAAGGAACTTTTTCAGGAAGATGTAGGAGCTTATTTTAAGTCAATAATTCCTTAATCTTTAAGAAAAAGTTCTAGTTTTACTGGTCGATTGTAGCAAATGTCATGTTATAAATAAAATAGTAACTAGATCTGGGTTGCTAGGAGACAGGCTGGGCTTGGCTGGGGTTGCTAGGCAACTAATCTAAAAGTTTAACTAGAATTTTTTCATTACATTAAAGATTTTTTAACTTAAAGCAAGTTCCCACATCTTACTGAAAAGTGACCTGTAATTTAGTTTGACCTACTCTAGAAACTAGACTAAAATTACTTGGTAAGATTTAGTGTTTTTGCAGTGTATTTGGTGTGTCATGATGATTTTAGGCGCTTAACGAGATGTAATGTCTCTTATTTATTTTCATAACTGGATGATGTGTTTATGTTTATTTTTTTTATGTTTTCCATGATTTGAACTGCAGTGTTGCTGAAATGTGCTACACAATTAAACATAATTAATTGATGATATTTTGATGTTTTTACAGTTCAGAATAAAACGTTTGTTTATCTTTCATGATGTTATGAGTCCTGACTTTAACAGTTAAAACTAGCGGTGCACCGATTGCAGTTTTCTGGCCGATCCCCGATTACTGATCTTTAAAAATCCTGACCTGCCGATTCCGATTTTGGCCGATACCGATATTTATTTGTCTGAAGTGTCAGAAGAGGACAGTGACTGACTTTAGATAAGATCGGTTTCACATGTAAGTATCGGCCGATCACCGACCTCGGTGTGCCCCTAGTTAAAACCTGTCTTGAGTGATTTTATCCACGGTTCTTTCATTCAGTCTCTCAGTTGATGGCAGATTTTTCCTTCCTAGACCTGAAGCAGTGGAAACTGTGAGCCATAAAACTGTCCACAGAAAGCAGCTTTACTCAGGCTGAACGATGCATTTGATCCCAGAGAGACGAAGGTAAAAAGGTTGCTGCGCTCGGATTGCTCGAACATGAGAGGAGTGATTTATGGGCCAGAACCGGGATGTGGACTTCCACAGAAATACAGTGAAGTTCCTGACTCATGAGGGAGACGCTTTGGGATGGCTGAACGCTGCATGAACCGCAAAATTAAAAAATAAGAATAAAGATGACAGGCTTGCCTTATTCATCCATATGCTGCAAATTATCCCATCTGCTTACAGTTTATTTTATTTACTTTGGTGATGCTCGGCCGAGTTGATTAACATTTTCTTAGTGTTTGTTGTCTTCTGGAGTTGACTGGCACCGTTTGAAGTGAGCGCGGCGTCGGCTTTGAAGCCCGGCTGGATCCAGATATGACTGGAGGATAATCTAGAAATGAATTTTTGGCAGCGTCTGAAGGCGACCGACAGGCGACAAACACGGTACTAGCTGTTGATTAAATGCTACTTTGAGATGCAGTGATGCACAAACAGAGAAGGGAGAACGGGAACTCCTAAACACACATGAAGAATCAGTTAAATATGTTTATTTAATCATAACAGGCTGTGAAAGTTGGTGACAGTTTCTCAGTTATTTAGTTACTTATGTTTCAGGACTTTAATTAATGTTATTTATCTCTGTATGCTGTCATAAAAACGCATAAAAATCTTTAAGACAGTAGAGAGATTCCAGCTGCTAAAAAAACCCCAAAATAATAACCAGAAATAAGAATTATACTTTTCTTTTTTGTGTGCTTTTGATTAAACCTTTTTTAAACAAGTTTTATCTTTTTATGCATTAAAACTTTTTAATGTAATCACAAAAATTTTATCATGAATAAAAAGATGCATAAATATTTTGTAAATGTTTAAAATACACTTAGCAACATATTTATTTGAATAAGTATCTTTGGTTATTTTCTGGTTGTTATATATTTTTCAATTTAAGTCAAAATGACGGGTCTGTAGTTTAGTGGCAGCAGATATTCTCTAAGTCAGTTTAAAACTAAGAGAAAAGGAAATACATCCTTATCCAATCCTCCTGGCAAGTGATGAAATATTTCCTGGTGTTGATTTTTCTCTCACAGTTAATCTTATGAAGCAACTCTGCTGCATGTTAATCCTCCTCCCATTAGGAATCACATAAAAACAAACTTCTTGGCAGTTTTGTGTGAGAAGAATATTTTACTCTCAACTCACAGAAAACCCTCAAAGTCAAAAACATTCATTAAAATAACAAATATATAAAAATATCTTTAAGTTCATTTTTTATTTGCATAAAATATTGAGAATTTTTTAATTAAATAATGTGTTATTTTTTATGCTTTATCAAATCATTTTTTAAATTCTTTAGCAAAAATATTTATAAAAATTTATTTAAGATCAAATTAGAACCTATTTAAACATTTTAAAAACAGTTATGTTAGAGGAGGTTTGAATGTTCAATGTATGTGTATTTCGAAAGCTGCAAAAGTAACAAAAATTAAAGTAAAATAGAAAACAACAAAAAACAACCAATAGCTCTGTAAATAGAACTGACAGAAATTATGCATTTCCAAAAAAAATCCCGGAGTCAGGTGGATAACAGCGGCATCTGGCGGTCAAATGTTTAATTGCCAGCGGTTCTTTAGTAGCCGCTTCATCCCTACAGTTTCCTAGAAGATTCTGTTATTTAAATTTCTACCAAAATGAAGCTATTTAGATAAAAAAAATAAATAAATAAAATAAAATAACGGGTTTTCCAGGCTGAAGATGCATAATAAATAACTTGTGGTTCTGCAGGTTGTTGTTGTTGCCACCTGCCTGCAGCAGAGGAAGCCTGCTGGGGTTGGCGTTGTTCCATTAACTCAACCACACGACTCTGTTTCTGTGAAATCATGCGCGCTAAGTTAAAAGCTGCAAAAACTTTTGTTCTTTCCTTTTTCCAGAGTGCTGCTCTGCACAGCCAGGACGATGAGCTCAGACTGTTTCCTGGTGAAACTTTTTAACAAGCAGCAGGTAGAAACTCTGCAAAGATGAGCTAAGAGAGCTGAACTGGGCTAGAAAATTATTTATATCAAAAAAACAAATATAATAAATTTTTTTTAAAAGTATTTACCCCTGTGAAAGCATTCTATATACAGGTGCTGGTCAT